GACTTTCTGAGAGTACAATCCCCGACCTCCGCACTTTAATTAGAGAGGCCCTAGACTAGGGCAGGCAGATTTGAGGCTCTTCATTCCTGGCTTCCTGCGTGAAGAGAGGCAGGATTCGGTTGCTCTGCAGCAGGCCTGCCTGGCAACCACATCACAAGAGCATCTTCCAGCTGCTCGGTCCAGGCACAGAACGACTCTGCCAGGATAAGGGAAGAGAACCAAGCCCCGCCGCTCAGGGTACGTCTACACCAGGGATGGGCAAAAGGGGCCTCCGCGGGCCGGATTCAGCCTGCCACGCAGGTGGATCCGGCCTGTGCAGGCCCTGCTGCTTCCCTGCCCCAGGCCACTTGAAACGCTGCACGTTCCTTGCAGGGGAAGGGTGGGGGGAGGGAAAGTGTAGGAGGCTTTGTGTGCTCCCCTGCCCCTAGGCCAATAAGGGCCTGAGGGCAGGGGAGCTGTGTGAAGCTTTCTTCGCCCTGCCCCAGCCCTGCGTGGAGCCTGTGGCACTTCAAAGCGCCACGTGCTCCTCACAAGGAGGGAGGAGGCTTCCCGCGCTCCCCCTCCTCCAAGGCCTGGATGCCTAATGGGAAGGGGGTGGGGTAGCCCCGCCCCTTCCCATTTAGGCCCTGCCCCTTCCGAGTCCGTGGACTGAGGGTGGCTGCCACGGGCTGTGTGAACGTTCCTCAGCTCCTCATCTGCCTCGTGGAGGCACACCACCCCTTTCTCCCAGCTTTTGTCCATCTTGTCTATTTAGACTGAGGCCCTGTCTGCACTAGTCAGTCTTCTGCTGGCGCAGCAATGCTGCTCCAGGGCACAGAGGCGTGATTTCTGATCAATAAGGCTGTGCCAGCAGAAATCCCTACTGGCAAAACCATGCTTTGAGTGGCAGAGCATGTTTTGCTCAGCGGCGAGGTGGAATAAGCTACGTTGTTAACTATGCATGTCTGCTTGTATAAACTGTGCCCACGCTAGGAGCATTTTGACACTATAGCATACAGACGCAGCCCGATCCCAGTGCAGACTAGGCCAAAACACTATGGGACGGGGATCGTTTCGGATCATGTGTATAGAATCCTAGAACTGGAAGGAACCTCGAGAGGTCATCAAGTCTAGCCCCCCGCCCTCACTGCAGGACCAAGCATCATCGAGCTATAGCTACTGCTCCCGGCACAAAGGGCCTCATCTCTGTTGGTGCGTCTACCACCAAAGCTTAAGACGCGTAAGTTTAGAGCTGGCGCTGTCCTCACTTGGAGTGTAGTATAAATCTAATAGCTGTGGTGGTTATGAGACAGTGAATTGAGATATGCATGGATAAGTGCACCTGCAACTTTTTCCCTAATATCTAATAAATCTGGGACTTTCCAGCTTAGAAAAGAGGAGACTAAGGGGTGTGTGTGGATATGATAGAGATCTGTAAAATCATGACTGGTGTGGAGAAAGTAAATAAGGAAAAGTTATTTACTTGTTCCCAGAACACAAGAACCAGGGGCCACCAAATGAAATTAATAGGTAGCAGGTTTAAAACAAACAAAAGGAAGTTTTTCTTCACACAGTCAACCTGTGGAACTCCTTGCCAGAGGATGTGGTGCAGTCCAAGACTATAACAGGATAGAAAAGAGCAGGATTAATTCATGGAGGTTAGGTCCATCAATGGCTATTAGCCAGGATGGGCAAGAATAGTGTCCCTAGCCTCTGTTTGGCAGAAGCTGGGAATGGGTGACGGGGTGGATCACTTAGTGATTACCTGTTCTGTTCATTCTGTCTGGTGCACCTGGCATTGGCCTTTGGTCTGACCCAGTGTGGCTGTTCTTATGTTCTTAAGCTAAATCGCCTTTACTGGACGATAAGCCCATTACTTCTTGTCCTACCTTCAGCGGTCATAGAGAACAATTGAGCACTGTCCTCCTTAGCACTCCCTTAGCATATCTGAAGACTGATCTGGTCTCCCCCTGGTCTTCTTTTTTAGAGACTTAAATATGCTCCCCCCCCTTTTTTTTGGCCTTTCCTCATAGGTCGAGTTTTCTAAAACCTTCAGTCAATGTTGTCTCTCTCCACCGGGCTCTCCAATTTCTTCCCATCTTTCCCACAGTACTCTAACCAGCACCTTCCTAGTGCTGAGTAGAATGGGACAGCTATGTTCTGGGTGTTGTATACAACACTCCTGTTATCACACAGGAAATATTACCTTAGAATGCAACTCCACCATTACCTGCTTGGTTCATATTCCCTTTACAGCTGTATCTGATTTACCACCACCTTACTAACCAACTTCTGCACACACACAAAAAATACCTCACCTTTGCCAATGGGAAAAAAAAAGATTATTGGTATAAAAACTAATGTCAACCCTCTAATCAGATTCATATTCATTCAAAAAGGTTGCAGTTGAAATGTATTTAGCTGGCAACACTTTCTTTGGCCACAAGGTGTCACTGTGGCAGCAAAGGAGAGAATTCCAAATGGAGTTGTAGCTTGATTTTTAGCTAAATGTTTGGCAGTGGCTAAAGCAATTGTCCTTGGTTACCACAAACACCAAACTCAGGTTATGTCTACACGGGCAGCTTCTTGGCGCAAGAACAATTGTTCTTGCGCAAAACTTACCTGCTGTCTAGACTGCACGCGCATTCTTGCGCAAGTAAATTTACAGTATAGCGTTGTAAAACAGGGCTTCTTCCAGAAGAGTTATTCCTCTCCCCATGAGGAATAAGCCCTCTTGCACAAGAGCTCTTCCACAAGAGGGCAGTGTAGACAGGCAACATGAATTTCTTGCACAAGAAGCCCCTATGGTTAAAATGACCATCAGAGCTTTCTTGCGCAAGAGCGTCCACACTGCCATGGATGGTCTTGCGCAAAAGCACATGGGAGTATAGACACGCTCTTATGGAAGACTTTTTGCGTAAGAACTCTTCCGCAAAACAATGCTTGCGCAAGAAGCTGCCAGTGTAGACGTAGCCAGGTAGCATTGCTCTTGCAAAAGTGCAGCTATCCACAGGTATCTGCATCCATGGATGTGGATAGCCACAGCTCATTTTTACAGATACAGATGCAGATACAAATTTTGTATTCATGCTGGGCTCTACAGATGTGGCCGACAGCAAGCCTTGCCGAGCAGTCTGGAAAATGCTGGCATCCAATGAATTAAGAATCTATTACTTACGTTTTAATTCTTAGCATTAATATGGAGCTTTTCATCCAGAGATCTCAAATTGCTTTAGAGAGAGTGGATGATGAATGGAAATGTAACGAGCTCGTTATTACTGTATTAGCCCTCTTTTCTACAAAGGGAAACTGAGGCACATACCAGCTCACCCAATGGCAGAGCTGGGGCTAGAACCCCAGCCTCTCAGGTCACTGAATCACACTGCCTTAGTTACATCTTCACAGCAGACCTAAGTCTAGAGAAGTTACTTACACCACTCTAGAGAGCCTCACTCCAGCCTGGCTGCTTGACGTGAAGTCACATTTTAGCAGCATAAGACAATTGGGGTAGCTGGAGTTCTGCTAATGCAAGCTGATGTTGATTAATCAGCCAACTTGATTTAGAGAGAGAGAGAGAGAGAGTGTACACGGACACAGAATTTGAGTTGGGGCACAACTCAAGTTCTGCTCACCTGACACCATATTATAAAACACCAAGTTCTCTTAAGCACTCAGTGACTTGTTCTGTTGCCTGACTATACCAGGCACTTGGATGTGTTCTCGGTGCTTGCTCCAGAATGGGCAGTGCCATGCGACTGGTGCTAGGGTGGCAGGTTGCTTTAGTGTTGTAATAGGTTCTAAACCAGGAGTGGGGAACCTAAGGCCCAGATGCAGCCCCCAGCTTGCCTGGACCCGACCCTCAAGGCTCAGGGCTCCCCCCACTGCGAGGCTGGAACACAAAATCTACTAGCCCAGGGCCCCCCTGAAAAATTCAGAATAAATAAGGCCTTAAGAACTAGCACGTGCTTTTTAGTACCTGCAGCAGCAATCCTCACCCCCTATTCCCACAAACAGCTGCTCCGCTTCAAGCACCAAGTAACACCTGTGGCACTTTTGATTGAAAACTCACGGGGCAGGGGCTGTCTGTGTGCTGGTTTTGTACAGGGCTTAGCACCACAGGGTCCCAGGCCACAACTGAGGTGAGTAGGCATTCCCTCCAGTCAAATCAATAGCGTCACTCATGCACACACACCCGCATAAGCCTGCTGCAAAGCTCAGGTCCTGGATTATACTTCCCTTCCCCTGGGATTATTCATTTAGTCACTTCTGGGAGATGGTCACCTCTCAAAGAGGGAGAGTGGTTCCTCCATGTTGCTTGGGGGAGGGGGCGGTAGAGACCACCATGAAGATTAAAAAGATAAGATCCCACTCTTGAGCTCTTCCCTGGTTTTAGACATGACCATGCACCTTTCCTGGGGGCTTTATTTCTGATTGCTGGTAGGGAGCCAGGCTATCCATTTTTCTCCCAGGGAACACAGTGGAAGCTTTCAAATAAAAGGTAGTTGCCTCAATGAGGTTGCAGCCATCCATCTATTGCACACTGGTTTATTTATTGTAGGGTGGCCCACTGGGCCCAAGCAGCCCACCCCCTGGTTTATTGAGAATAGGGTGACCCCCAAGTACTGTATTTATTATTGGGGGGTGGTCAACCCTAGTGCATTTACTGTAGGTTTGTTCATGGGACTTTTCTTGTTCTAAGGACAGTCTATTTCTGACTGAGGAAACAGAGGTAGCTGGGTGTGTTGCTAGGGTAGGGAAAATAATTACGCAGCCTCCAACCCTGTGACCTGAACAGCCACAGGGACCTGCGTGAACGCAACACATAGCTTCAACATCTAAAAATACTTGGGTATTTTTTAAAAAAGGGTTAAATATACATTTAAAAAGCCCCACCAACGACTAACTTCCCCCTCCTGCCAGCTACCCACAGGTCCCACGCATTGTGACAAAGGTGGACCTATGCCAGCAGCTCCCGGCCCGTTCAAGCACCGAGCAAGAAAGGACCCTTGGCTCTCCCCCCATTCCATCCACGTCAGGGGTCAAAAAAAAAAAAAAATGTCCAAGAAGGTACCCGTGGAGCCATGAAGGGATAAGCCAGAGCTCAGCAACATGCTGCCTCGTTAAAATAGCAGAATAAATCGTCACCTTGCTCCCAGGAAGTGGGCGGCACCTCAGAGTAATAGTGTTTCCTATCTAGTCAAAGCAGCAACATGAGGAATCAGACCCTTGTTTAGCACAGAGGGGCTGTAGATGAGTTGTAAGCCCCCAAGCCACACCCCCAGCTGCAGAGGGAGCGATACAAGAGGAGACCTGCACCCCTGTCTTTCTAGGGCACTACCAAGAGCTGTTGCAACTAAAGGGCAACCAGAAGGGGTGTTCTACCAAGCGTGCCAACCCCGCAAGAGGGGAAGCGCAAGCTTCTCCCCACCCCTGCGTGCGTGCCAGGACCTAGTGTTAACCCACAAGCCAACAAGATGTAGCTTGAAGTAGAAGAGCTGAAGGGGGCCTGTTCTGGGCTGGAGGGTGAACCGCGAGGGTTCGGTGGCTGCAGGGTTTTCTCCTTAGCAAGGTACCGTACAGAAGCTGGATTCTGTCCCTGAAATCTCTTTGGCATCAGCTGCCTCCCCTTCCCCCAAATCCATCCTAGATCCTCTCTCCCCATCGCCTGCTATTTCCTGAAGAACTTCTTGTTGAGGAGGAAGAGGAGGAGGTTGACGTTGATTTTGGCCTTGTTGAACATCTTCATGACGGCCACGCCTTCGTACTGCAGCTGCAGCAGGTCCTGAGAGGGAGAGAGAGTCCCACATGGGCAACAGGGCTTTGGTAGAGCCCGAGCTGACAGGAGATTTTCCCTCCTACTTGGGGGTGCTGAATCTTGCCCTTAGCTTCGGCTAAGGAGCTGCTTTGGGCATATGATGGTGGGAGGCTACATCCAGCTGCATTCCCAGTTCTCTGAGCAGTGGGTGAATGTTCAGCCTCCTATCACCTCCGTGCTGCCAACAACTAGCATGAGCCCGTTTTACAGATGGGGAAAACTGAGGCAGACAGGAAGCAACATACCCAATGTGTCAGTGACAAAACTAGGAATACAGAACCAGGAGTCCTGGTATTCCTGGACTCCCTGGCTCTAACTGCTAGGTAATGCTTCCTTACAGAAAGAGTGGAGAACCCAGGAATTGGATCAGCTAGTTCCTGGCTCCAAAGCCCTTTTCCTCCCTGGTGGGGTTTACTGTGCTATAAAGGCATCTACCTAGAACCCTTATCAGCTTCACCATCCAGAGCTCCCCCTGGGGAGGTCAAAACTGATCGACTACTGGGTTTGCATTCCTGGGGATATGGAGATACAGATTATGGAGCACATTGGTTGTGGGGTCAAGCCTAGAACCTAGGGAGATGACAGGTCTCCTGCTCCACGCATCAGATTACATGCCCTAGCAGGAGCCGAATCCTAGCTTTGTTCCCAGTTTGGGAAGGGAGTGTACCCTAGTGGGTAGAGCACATGGCCAAAGACAAGATTCCTGGGTTCTATCCAGTCCCGTTAACCTTTCAAATCCTAGGGTGGGAAGAGACCTCAGGAGTCAGAGTCCAACCCCCTGCCCAAAGCAGGACCAACCCCACTAAATCAACCCAGCCAGGGCTTTGTTAAGTTGGGACTTAAAAACCTCTAGGGCTGGATTCCCCACCCCCTCCCTAGGGAACCCATCCCAGTGCTTCCCCACCCTCCTAGGGAAATAGCTTTTCCTAATATCCAACCTAGACCTCCCCCACTGCAATTTGAGACCATGGCTCTTTGTTCTGTCATCTGTCGCCACCAAGAACAGCCTCTCTCCATCCTCTTTGGAACCCTCCTTCAGGTAGCTAAAGGCTGCTATCAAATCTCCCTTCACTCTACTCTTCTGTAGAAGAAACAAGCCCAAATCTCTCAGCCTCTCCTTATAAGTCATATGCTCCAGCCCCCTAGTCATTTTTGTTGCCCTCCGCTGGAGTCTCTCCAAACAGATCCACATCCTTTCTGTAACAGGGGGCCCAGAATTGGATGCAGTACTCCAGCTGTGGCCTCACCAGTGCTGAATAAAGGAGACTCATCACTCCCCTAGATCTGCTGGCAATGCTCCTCCTAATGCACCCCAAAGCATACTTCTTGGCGGATTGGTGCATTGACAGCACCTCCGCTCTATGCTGCTGTAGGCTCAGCCCCATGGGTGAAGGTGCCCGGGCTCCCTACCTGATAGTGAAGCTGGAACTTCTCCATGTCGATCCCCATAAATCTGGCCGTCACCTGGAACTTGCCGGCTTCCTCACACGGAACGATATCGAAAATCACGTTCCGGAACCTGGCAGGGGATAGAGTTAAACTAGGGGCAACAGAAAGGCTGCGACGGGGGTTCTATTCCCCTGCTGGCAGGGGAGTGTTTCTTAATGGTTAGAGCAGGCAGGAATTGGACTCAGGACACTGCTGCTAAGACACTCACTCATGTGAGTGGGAATATTTTGTAACAACCAGACTTGAAGGAGGAGAGCACATGGGATCGTCTCAAATTTGTAGCCAGTTTGCGTAATCTTCCCTTTGACGCTGCCCTGCCCAAAGCCCCTCTAATCTCCTCTGAGTCCTAAATGCCTATACAGGAGGGATGGGCAATAATTTTCAGGGGGGCCGCATCATGAAATTTGGTACGTGGTCACAGGCCGGCTCCTCCTTCCCCCCAGAAGAGGAGGGTCTTGGGGGCTACAGACAGGGAAAGAAAAAAAAGTGTGAAAGAGACACTGTGTGAGAGAGACAGACTGACACAGACTGAGTGTGTGTGGCACTGAGACGGGAGAGTGTTGTGGCAGAGTTGTGTGTGACAGTGACCATGTGTGTGGGATGCAGAGAGGGTGCATGTGACAGTGACACAGTGTGTGTGCTGGCCGCTGCTGGGTAAGTTTGAGAGAAGCCACGCGCTGTCTCTTTAAGACAGGGAAAGTTGTCCTGGTCTGTTGTCTCCCCCTCCCCCGCTTTGCAAAGGTGGGATATTGGAGCAAAGAGAAGAGAGAAAGCACTAAAATCTTAGAAACTGTGCGCTGCCTTTAAAGCCAGGCACTCCTCTGAGTCACCAGAGTTCTTCAGACTGGAGCCGTTTCGCTGTGTGTCTCCCTCTCCCTGACCTCTGCGCCGCAGAGGTGGGGTACAGGGACAGGGGGACACCCTGACTTCAGCATTCCCCCCCTCATCACCCCATTGCAAAGCTTGCAGGAGGGTCCTGGGAGCAGCTCAGCTGCAGGAGGGAGCAAGGTGGGGAGGGACAGCCAAATACAGGCTGCCAGCTGTCAGTATGCATGCTCTGCTCATTGGCTGAGCGTGTCAGAGAGAAATGCTTAGTGGGCCGATTTTGCCTGCCGCTGCTATATGGCCTCTAGGTGGAGACAGTCAGCAAAGCAGGAGCAAGGACAGCCAGCCCGCGATGACCAGGTCTCACCACACGGGCAGCTGAGCTGGACTGGGGCGGTTTCAGCTTGGAGCAGCACCGACGGCCGGGAGGCTACTTACTGGCTGACGGGCAAGTCTTCTATCTCCAGCAAGACGCCCTTCTCAAAGAGCCGTGCCGCCGTGTAATGCAGCGAGTGCTGCTTCCTGCTTTTTCCGTTGAGCCTCAAAAGAAACAGAATTGGGGTAAGTTCAAAGCAGAGAAGGCAGGGGGCTGAATCCCAGCCACTCAGCCGCCTGCCGGGTAGGTGATAAAACACAGAGCATGGCTCTACACCCACTCATCCAAGTCAAGAGTTTGGACCTCAGGCAGCTCTCTAGTAGGACCATGGGCCGGGAATTAAAAAAAATAAAAATAAATCAGTGAACTTGTGAGACATGCAGAGGAATTTCCAGATTAAAAGGGATGCAGGAGAGAAGGTCTTGACCCAAGAGAAAAAAAGCAAGCTAGCAAGAAGGCCCATAAAGCTAAATATGCAGGGTGACACTTTTTTTTTGGCAACAAACACAAACCACACAACACCCACAAACATGATTCTGGGTTGCATAAACAGGAGTGTGAGTGCAAGACATGAGGAGTCATTCTTCCGCTCCATTCCGTGCTGATTAGGCCTCATTTGGAGAACTGTGTCCAGTTCTGGGCACCACATTTCAGGAAAGATATGGAGAAATTGAAGAGGGTCCAGAGAAGAGCAACAAAAATGATTAAAAGTTTAGAAGACATGACCAATGGAGAAAGACTGAAAGAATTGGGCTTGTTTAGTTTAGAAAAGAGAAGACTGAGGGGGGGGACATGGCAGCAGTTTTCAAGTATCAAAAAGGGTGTTACAAGCAGGAACGGAAAAAATTGTTCTTTGTCCTGAGGACAGGACAAGCAGCAATGGACTTAAACTGCAGCAAGGGAGGTTTAGGTTGGACATTAGGAAAAAGTTCCTACCTGTCAGGGTGGTCAAACACTGGAATAAATTGCCCAAGGAGGTTGTGGAATCTCCATCACTGGAGATATGTAAGAGCAAGATAGGTACCTATCAGGGATGGTCTAGAAGATGATGCTTGGTCCTACCGTGAGGGCAGAGGACTGGACTTGAAGACTTCGAGGGCCCTTCCAGTTCTAGTGTTCTATGATAACGTTAACTAAAGAAGAATGTAATGCTATATACAGAGTTGAGACTAATTCCTTCCTGACCCCTGGCTGCTAACCAATTCATGCCCTGAAGCACGATATTCAGTTACCCTCTGGCTTACTCTGCATAAGTGTTGATGGTTATTGCTTTGAGCTCTTTTCTAGAGCCTGGCATGGATACAAAATTATCGGTATCCACAAAAATGAGCCATGGATATCCACAGATGCGGATACCCACTTTAGATCTGCGGGTATCTGTGGATTTGGAGAGCTCTACTCTTTACCAACCCATGCATAGCCCAACCTACTTGCTGTTGGCTGCCAGGTTGTCCAGACACGTCCGGATGTACTGATTGTAATAATCGATTTGCTCCTCATAAAACAAGGTCTTGCCGTTGAGGCTGCTGAGGGTCTGCCTCAGTTTTACCAGCTCCCCCTTGCGGTGCTGCCGGTAGCGCCTCTGATGGCGAATATCCTGGAACGTGTACAGGAATCAACACAAATAAAGAACTGGAAAACCCCGTGCCCAGAGCCAGTTCATTCAAGTAGACACAGAGATTCACGCGTGGTCACTAGCAAGCAGAAATGCAATTGGATTCAGGGCTTAAAAGCAGCCGATTCGCTTTTGGGCAATTACAAAAATGTTCTGAGTAGCCTCCTATGGGCTGGGGCTGGCCCATGGGACAATTCCATCTAGGGATGCAACTGGTTAACAGGTAAGAATTGCTCTTGCCAGGTAATGCTAACCGGTTACCAGTTAACTGACAGCCCTGTGAGATGCTGATTAAGCAGTTAGCCAGTTAAATGTACAGCCACTCCCCGACTTATGACCATCCATACTTACGACCAACCTCCCTTTAACCCCATTAGAATATTTTCAAGTTGAGAACCACGTACGTCAAGTTTTTCGAACAACTCGGGCAGCGCGTTTAAGGGCATTTCCGACTTACGAACGGGTTACATTCCGAACACCTGGTCGTAAGACAGGGACTGTGTAATGTGTAACCAGTTAACTCAGGCGTGGGCAATAATTTTTGCAGGGAGGGGGCCACTTCATTAATTGTGGGGTAGTGGTGGCAGGCTGGCTCTACCCCCAGAAAGGGTGGGGCCTCTGGCAAAAGGGGTGGTTCCCTCTAGGCACTGCACACCCCTGGCAAGGGGGAGGAGATTTTGTGCGCTCCCCCATTCCCAGGCCAATTGAGACCTGCAGGTGGAGGAATGTGCAAAGTCATTTTCAAAACAGCTGGTGACTCCCTCTAGGCACCATGCGGCGCTGGCAGGGGGGGAAGGAACCACCAGCCACGTTGAACAGCAAGTGACTTCATGCACTCCCATGCTCCCCGGTCCCAAATGGCCTGGAGACGGGTGACAGCAGGGCGGCTGCGGGCCAGATTAAATGGCTCGGTGGGCTGGATTCAGCCCACGGGCCGCATCTTGCCCACCCTTAGGTTAACGATTTAAACGGGATTTTACATCTCTAATTCCATCCGGCCCCCGAATGCCTCCGCTCCCATCAGCGGTACCTGCTTGGAATGGGAGGCAGTCGTACGGCATGGCAGCGAAATCCTGCACACGCCTGAGACCAGCTCTAAGAAATGGTCCTCTCCACGTGGCACGACCTGCCACGCAGGCGGATGCCGGTTTCCAGAACGAGTGTTTCCATACAGGCTCACCGAGGTGCCCCCAAACTAGATCTAGCCCGCGGCATTGGAAAGGAAGACCCCCATTTGGAAGGCATCACAACTGATCAGGACCCAGCTCCCCGCCTCCTTCCCCGCAGCTAGTTCTGGGCTCTCCCCATCAGACAACGCTAGGGACAGCGAGGCCAACTGAGCGTTTAAGGCACCAGGTTGGGACGTGGGGCAGCAGGATACAATCCCCGGCTCGTGAGACTTTGGGAAGTTCACAGCATCAGAATTTGTGGACACCGAGCTTCTGTTTAGACATCTCAGGAAGCGGCCCCATCATCAAGAGAGTTCAGCCTGGTGCTTTGCCCGAGCAGGAAAAATCTAGATCCCAACTGCAGCAGGTTTTTTGATCAAAGGGGGTGTTTGCTCTGGGCATGAGCCGGTCGAGGTTCAGATCTGAAGAGAGTCAATAGGACTTTCCTAGGGGCTGGGGTGGATTCTCTGTCACTTGAGTTCTTGAAATCCAGACGGGGTCTCTTTCTAACAAGAGACACTATACTCAAAACAGAAGGGGCTTGATGAAGAAATGATTGTGGGGGGAGGGAAGGAAGGGAGTAAATATTCTTGAGCTCGTGTTACACAGGCGATCACTCATGATCCTAATGGCTCTGCCTGGCCCCAGTCTACGAAACTGGTCTGTGAGCGCTTTTGGAAGTCAACTCAATCCCCATGCCTCAGTTTCCACACCTGTAAAATGGAGCGAATATTAGGGCTGGGATAGTGTAAACGGTTATCTGATGAGCCTGGGTTCATTGGTTAATCTCGGTGGCTACACACAAGACCCCTCCTCCCGCGTTGCTGCCTCGGATACAGAGCAGTGTGAGGGTGGAGGGGGCAGGCGGGAGCCAGTGTTCACGGAGAACCTGCTTTTTAAGCCTGTAAACGTGTAACCACTGAAAGTTTCAGCAGTTACACATTTACCACAAATCAATGCATTTTAACCTCCCTAGCCAATATTGCTGCCTTACTGCACAAACTTATTGGGAGCATGAAGCCCGTTAACCGCTGAACCACTCAGGAAGGGAGTGAAAACTAAGTAGCGAGGTAAACAGACAGCTGTCGAGACTCCAGTTGACAGTAGGAGTCTGGGGGTTCAGCTGAAAAAGCTCAGAGCCCAGCCCCAGTCGGCGGGACTACAGGATGGGAAGTAATACCAATCCGGCCACAAAGCTGGTCCTGGGGCAGGAGAGTTTTAGAAAGAGATGGCAGCAGGAGAATTAAACAGGCTGACCCTCCGATACCAGCTCGGACATATGAACCTTTATAGCACGTGGCCGCCCCTCACAGTCACGTCTGAGCACTGCACAAATCGGTGCGCTGATCCTCACCCCAGGTCACATGGGGCGTCTGTGACAAAGTAGGGACTCAAGCACACTGCCTGTGTGTCTGCCTGAATACTTCTTTTGGCCCCCAACTTTGCTGAGCCTTTCAGGCATGGGTAGGCTCCTAGGCATCCAAACCCCTCTGGCTTCGCCGGGTACTGACTCCCGTTTCTAGCCCTGGGTTCTCTACGCCGGGGCAGGCTGCAGTACCTTGGCCATCTCATTGACGATCTCCTGATACTGATTGGCCACGTGCACCACCCCCAGGCTCTCCAGGCGCCGCAGGTTCCGCAGCACCTTCCGCTTCTTCTCTTCTAGGGAGAGCTGGCTGTTGCCAGCCAGGGAGCGGTTGCGTTTCAGCCTGTCGGGGGTCTGGGCCTCGCACAGGGCCCGTTCATGCATCCGGTGGTGATGGAAGGCTTCCTGCAGTGAGGGAGGGGCAGGGGGAGAGAAACGTTTTGTCCATCAACAGGGAACCTGCAACCCTGGAAGTGGGTTTTGTGTCTCGGCAGCCATGGGGAGAGCTTAGGAAGGCAGACAGTGCCCTCCCCCCCACCTCTCTTCACAAGCCGGAGCTGAGCAGAGGGGACTGTGTCTTCTCACACTGGGTGGGGCGCGGCTGGGCATAAGGAATCCACACTGCTCACCAGCCAGGGGCAGTTGTAACAGGCTGGCCTGCCTCTTTAGAAGACCAGGAGGCCACCAGTCAGTCTTGTCCGGTGGTTGGCCCTGTGCCGTAATAAAACAGCCTTCCGGCTGAAGGTGGGACTAGCTGATAAAACACCTGAGCCTCAGGAAAGGGCAGAGGGACTCTGACTGGGGGGAGGCCCTGAAATAGGGTGTGGAAGAAGCAAAGGATCCAGGCTCTGTCCTGGAGCAAATAGGGGAGGCCAGAAAGGACTTGGAACTGAGCCCAGGACACGGGCTGAAGAGGACTGGGCCAGGGGCCCACTTTGGAGGAGGAACTACAGGCAGGGAGTGCCTGCAGGACCTTTACACACAGCTAGAAAGGAGCACGATGGGGGAGCCACACCCATGACATGTGCTCAGTCTAGATCAGTGTCTCTCAACTTTTTTTTTTTTTTTATTAAGTATCCCTTTTTTTTCCAAACAAAAATTGTAAGTACCCCCAGTACCAACCATTTTCAGATGCACACATTTTTTTTCTCCCATTGAAACACATTTGTTTAAACAACTTAATCGTAGCTGGGCGGGCGATGATATTTTTGGGTGTAAAAAGTACAAAAATAATAATAGAAATGTAGCTGGGTTAGTCTGGTGTAGCTGAAACAAAAAACAGGACTATGCAGCACTTTAAAGACTAACAGATATAGATGGGATTGGTCCTGCCTAGAGCGGGGGGCTGGACTTGATGACCTTCTGGGGTCTCTTCCAGTTCTATGATTCTATGATAAGGGGATGGTTGGATGAAATAACATGATCTTGGTAACTAATTGACCATTCATTATCAGTTGGAAATAGGTCAATGGAGGGATGATAGGAGTTGCTATAGGGAACTTTCTGGGTGTCTGGCTGGTGAGTCTTGCCCACATGCTCAGGGTTTAGCTGATCGCCATATTTGGGGTCGGGAAGGAATTTTCCTCCAGGGCAGATTGGCAGAGGCCCTGGAGGTTTTTCGCCTTCCTCTGTAGCATTGGGCACAGATCACAGCTGGAGGATTCTCTGCATCTTGGGGTCTTCAAAGTATTTGAAGGCTTCAATATCTGAGATATAGGTGAGAGGATTATTCTAGGAGGGGTGGGTGAGATTCTGTGGCCTGCACTGTGCAGGGGGTCAGACTAGATGATCATAATGGTCCCTTCTGACCTTAAAAGTCTATGAGTCAAGATGGTTTATTAGGTGATGAGCTTTTGTGGGCCAGATCCAAAATTTTCTTCCACTATTTGATCTGAGGAAGTGGGTCTAGCCCATGAAAGCTCATCACCTAATAAACCATTTTGTTAGTCTTTAAAGTGCTACATAGTCCTGTTTTTTGTTTCAAAAATAATAAAGCACTGTGAGACTGAACACAAAAATTCAGGTTTCTCCAAATTTCAGTTGTGTTGACGTAACCCCCCCAGACTGTCTCTCAAGTACTCCTAAGGGTACTCGTACCACTGGTTGAGAGACACTGCTCTAGATAAGTTCCTCTCCTTTGCAATCATGTGTTTGCAGTTTATAAATAAATCAGCCAGTAGATGGAACCGTGTGCTACAGAGTTCCAGGAAGCATGTTGGCCCCTGGTAAACAATGGAAGCAAAACTGGGACTTGAACTGGGTGGAAACCTGTTTGTTTTTTGTAGCAGTTTTAACAAACATCTCCTGTTGAAGGCAGACTGTGATTTGCCCAGCCCAACACCTCTTCTCTTCCCCTACCTGATCCTCTGATACAGCTGTCCGTAAGATCTCCAAGAGGGAATCCCCTGGCTGGGACTGGATCACATCCACTAGCATCTGTTTGGTGCTAAAACAGAAGAGCACGAGTTACCCATTTTACTGGCTGCAGGGGAGAAGGTCAAGCGCATTAGGTGCACGGCAATGAGCCAACAGCGGAAGAAGATTTCCTTGCAATGCCACTACTGGGGCATTTGACGTATCAGAGCAAATCAAGGAGCCCAACCAAGCCAACATGACCCTTCACTCGCTTGGCTTCTCAGGATCAGAAAAGCGTCACTGAATTCCTTAGGCCACAGGGCCCCTTTCAAAGGGAGACGTGCCCTGGCCTCGCTGGAGCTCCACACGTAGGCTGCTGTGCTCACCTCAGCAGCAATCTCTTGGTATCTGCCTCCTCGCTGCTGGCCTCGATCACATCGAACTTGTTGGTGAGGGTGAGCGAGATCTCCATCTCGCTGGGATTTAGTGCACTCTCACCTGCCAGGCCAAAGAGAGAGTCAGAAGGAGCTACTTCCTCAGTCGGAGGAGGAGAGGGGTGATCAGAGCCAGAGAGGAGAGACTTGCGTTCTACAAGGTGCCCTGTCACCAGGATGGACGTCTGAGTGTGGGGTAGGTTGCTTAGAGCCCCTCTGGGCTCCTGCTTACAAACCTGGGGCTTTGACCAATAAGGCATCCCCTCAGTGGTGCCTGGGGCCATTAAACCAAAAGGAAGTATTTCTTCATACGTCTCACAATCAACCTGTGGAACTCCTTCCCAGATGTTGTGAAGGCCAGGATTTTAACAGGCTCAAGAAAGAATTAGATAAATTCATGGGGGATAGGTCCATCAATGGCTATTAGCCAGGATGGGAAAGAAAGCTGTCCTTAGCCTCTTTTTGTCAGGGCTGGGAAATGGGTGACAAGGAATGGATCACTTGATTCCCTGTTCTGTTCATTGCCTTTGGGGCACCTGGCATTAGCCATTGTCAGAAGACAGGATACTGGGCTAGATGGACCTTTGGTCTGACCCAGACCGGTCGGTCTTATGTTCTTCTATTTCCTGCTAATAACTACGCCTCCCCGCGCAAAGACGACGGAGAAGAAAGAATAAGCCTGAACATCATAAAAATAAGTAATGAAACCCACCCAATAAAAGAAAAACAGAGGCTAGGGACAGCTTCCCTGCCCATCCTGACAAATAGCCATTGAGGAACCTATCCCCCATGAATTTATCTAGTTCTTTTTTGAGCCTGTTAAAATCCTGGCCTTCACAACATCCCCTGGCAAGGAGTTCCGCAGGTTGACTGTGGGATGTGTGAAGATCAGAAGGATGGGAAACAAAACAGATGCGACCGTACTGACAAAACCCCACAAAGTGAGCTTTAAAAAAAATCAGGAGACCTAACAGAGTTCTCTGTCTTCCCTCCCACCTCCGATCTTAATGCACACAGGACACGTTTTCAAGCTTTTCCCAGCAACCGTAAGGGCTAAAAACTTAATGGGAGCTGAAGTTCTATCAGTTGCATTGACTTCCGGAGTGGCGGCATTAAAGGAAAACAGGTGGCCACACTAGTTACTCACCCAAGAAAGTCAACGCCTTGGCCCAGGGGCATGGTATTCTGCTAGGCTGCTCGCAGAGGGGAGAACAAGCATCATCTGTTCATTGGAAAGGGGACACCGGAGGAGAAGGGCAGGTGTTTCCTTGAAACTGACAAGGGGTCTGTACATACCTATTAGAGACTGGGCAGTAGGCAGCTCATCCAGAGCTTCCAACAGCTCGTGCAGGGGGTCCTTGTGGTCAGGAGCGATGCACTCCTGGTGCTCCAGTAACAGCTGCGTAGCCAGCGGGAGAACGGGAGCAAGGCAGAGAGCACAAAAGGATCGGGATTACAAGCAGCATTCCAGACGACTAGCGCCCCACTGTTCCAACCGATGGTACCATCTGGCCTACCTTGTATGCGCCGGACACCCCGTGACCCACAGGCAGGAGGAGGCTGCCACCCGGCCTTTGGACAGGGGTCG